AGAGGAGTTAGGGGTTTAGGGGTTTAGGGTTTAGGGTTTAGGGTTTAGGGTTTAGGGTTTAGGGGTTTAGGGTTTAGGGTTTAGGGTTTAGGGTTTAGGGGTTTAGGGTTTGGGGTTTAGGGTTTAGGTTGCAACTGGTACTAAGCGGTTCTACGAGGCCCTGATTCGGGCTTATAGGACTTGATCAGACTTATAAGAAGACACTGTAAGGATTTAAAGAATTCTATAGGGCCATAGGGTGTTCTTCAATCTTTTTGGGTGTCAGAAGGCTTGAATACGGCTTCACTAACTAAAACGATTGAAGTCTGCACGCGCATCTACAGAGTATCCCTTCAGAATGTGTCGTGATGTTTTACCTCAAAAAAGCAGCCTGCTACACGCCTTAGAGGCCCAAAGCCCGCAAACCCCAAAGCACCCATTCATCTATCTAGGCCCGATAGGCCCCATAGTAGTTCCTTTTTGGGATTACCTCATAGGATTAGGGTTTCGGGTTTAGGGTTTTAGGGTTTAGGGTTTAGGGTTTTAGGGTTTAGGGTTTAGGGTTTAGGCCCCATAGTAGCTCCTTTTGGGGATTACCTCATAGGATCCTAAATATAAGCCACCAGAAGAAACTACTATGGGGCCTATGGGTAGATGCATAATTCCAGACCCGGAACCCTAAGGGTCCATGTACCCAAATAGTACATACTTTGGCCCCAATGTACCTACATAGGGACTACTTTAAGGCCAAAGTACATACTCTTTAGGTACATGGACCCTTAGGGTGAACCCCAACCCTAAACCCTAAACCCTAAACCCTAAACCCGATACTATTTAGGTACATGGACCCTTAGGGTGAACCCCAAAGGCCCTTCAGCCTTCACTTTTTGCCCTCAGGGAACACGAGCGCAGGAGTTCGGAGCCTCGGGGTTTCAACAACTTCACGAACGAAACGTTAACACCGGGTTACGGATTAGGGTTTAGGGTTTAGGGTTTAGGGTTTAGGGTGTGCCCGAAACCTAGAATCGAAACAGAAGGTTACAAGGCCCAGAAGGTCAGCCAAAACCCTTTTTTTTAGCACTGCCTGGATCTGTGGCCATGGTGCCCACAGCACGGAGTAGGCAGCGTCGTAGCCTCCACTCCCACTGTCAAAACAGAATGGGGGTTCAGTTCACGGCTGGGTTAACCCTAAGAGCCCAGGGTACTATAAGGGTTTATATAGGGTTTGAGACAGGTAACTGGGCTCCTCGGGTAGTATATGGAGTGTAACACTTCAAAACGGCGTCCACTGGCCAGAAGGTTGAGGTTTTCGGGCCCACCAACTACACGTTTGGGTGGCGTCGTTCGGCTAGTGGAGTTGCTCTCACAGCCTCATGTGGAGGATCAAGCGACCTAAACTTTAACAAGTAGGGTTTATATGTAAGGTATTTTACATTGACTACCTACGAAACCAATTATTGCACATGAAATCCTACACTTGCTAAGTCCCAGGGCCGTCCAGGCATATACGTAACTTCACGTCTGCAGGCCGAACCTGCAAAGCTCAGGATTTCCCACTGTGGGGGCCTACTCCGTTTGTCATTTTTCCTAGACCCTCCATCTACCCTCTAGTAGACCCTAAATACCCCTAATTTGGGACCATATACCCCTATTTGAGGGTACTTGGAGGGCCCTGGTCTTTTGCCAGTTGATGTCAACCAACTATATAAGTTAGCCCTATTCTGATCGTAGTTCGTCCCCCGGACATGCACTGTTCCTGTACGGCAGTTCTTGGACACCTATACCACACGATCAACCGCGCGGCAAGACTTTGAAAGCCCGAACGCGACAAAATCAGAAAAAGTTCGTGTTGCCTACACCTTCAGCCTACACCCCAAAACCCACCAAAAACCCTTTCGGAACAATCTTACCAAACTCTGTGGAACCCTTAAAGCACACCCCCCAGCTTGTAGAATTCTTAGAGCAAGGCTTCTAGTACCCTCAAATAGGGGTATATAGTCCCAAATTAAGGGTATTTATAGGGTCTAATAGAGGGTCCCTAAGCCCTAAACCCTAAACCCAAACCCTAAAGGGTAGATGGAGGGTCTAGGTTATAGAACCCCTATAGACAAGAACCAGGCCTTTGCCGCTGGGAGTTCGGAGCTTGAGCTGCCTGGCAGACATGGGCTTACAGGGTTTAGGGTTTGTGATGGCCCTAAGGGTCCAAAGATCCTAATAATCATGTACTTGGGTTACGGATAGTAGTTTTGTAGGTTAGGTACTTGGACCCTTTGGGTAGGGTTCAGGGTTTAGGGTTTGTGTTTTGTCTTTGATTTTCGGGTATGGAGCTTTAGGATTCTAGGGTTTAGGGCTTGGGGTCTAGGGCCCAGGGTTTAGGGGTGGAAGTATTGGTCCCTGTGGGGATTTAAGATCTGGGATTGTCTTACTATTGGGTTCATGTTACCTGTTAACCGGGCATTCTAGTTAACGTTTCAGCTGCCATATTCAGAAGGATATACAAGAAAAGTATACCTTTTTCAGTACTGCAGTTAAAACTCCTTCTCGAGCACCCTGTAAAAGCCTTGCTTCGGGAACCCCTACCCCACCACATGAAACCTTGCATGGACCTGATAAAACCGTATAGCTGCCTAACGAGAGCTCAGATAACGCCACATGATGCATCAAACCCGGCAGACATCACTATAGAACCCGTATGCAGCCCTTATGGGACTCTTTTCAAACCCGTACCAGGGCCCGAATATACTGTAGTAAGAACACCCTTAAAGGAACCCTACCCTTAAAGGAACCCAGTGCCCTACAGTAGACCCTTTTATGAAACCCTAAACCCCCTAAGCCCTAAACCCAGGACCACCAAAAATAATGTAGGTACTCTTTAAGGCCCTAATCCCTAAACCCTAGACACCCTACGGGAACCCTAGAAGCAACCCTACCCTAAACCATTGAAAAAAGAAGCCTGAAAGGATCCCTTAAAGGAACCCTAAACCCTTAACCCTAAACCCTTCACTCTTAACCCTAAACCCTAAATCCTAAAGCCTAAACCCTAAACTCTTAACCCTAAACCCTAAAACCCTAAACCCTTAACCCTAAACCCTGAACCCTAAACCCTTAAAGGAACCCTTAAATGGACCTCGCAGACTTCGGTGCCCAGGGCGATGGTCGCAGGGTCCGCAGAGGCAGCAGCCGCCAAGGCCGCAGCAGTTCTCCTTCTTTGAGGGGCTTACATTGGGAATCATAGGGTTTAGGGTTTAGGGTTCAGGGTTCATAGGGTTTAGGGTTTATGGGTTTTTAGGGTTTAGGGTTTTATGGGATTCGGGTTTAGATTTTGTCTTTGGGTTTTACGGTTGAAGGGTTTCAGAGTTAAGGTGCCAGTTGGTTGTGTGGGTGGTCGGCGAATTGGGATGGAGCTGTTTCGTCAGCACCTGGGTTTAGGGTTTAGGGCACTCAGCAATCATGCGGAGAGGAGTTTGGGGTGCAGACTGGCTTCCTTTAGGGTTTAGGGTTTAGGTAGTTGGATGTGGTTGCTGCATTGTACAACTGCCGAGTTATACTGTCCTGCTTCAAGGACATTGGAAACCGCCATTGCCGTGTAGTGCAGGTTCCGGTGGGTGAATCGCATTTGTTCAACGAACACTCTGCTTGAAGAGAAACTGGGCTCCAGCTTGTTCGTGGGCCAACGCGCCAAGTAAGCAGCAGAAGCACGGATGTCAATCAGCACCATACAGACTTCAGCGGCAAAGAACTCTGAAACTCACCACCCAAAACCCGAAGCTCTCAAACAAAAAGTTGCTAAGCTTGCTGCCCAATAGCCACTGCCAGGCCTGTCGACAAATTTTCACCAGACTGCTCCGGGTGACCTGGAATCGGGCTTATCTTTACTGCCCGAGCCCCCTAAAGCGTCTCAACGCGCTAAACACAGATTGATACACCACGTTTGTAATTGAGGCTGTGTTTGGGAGGCAGGGTTTATTGCCCGCGTTCGCAACAGGACACAGCCAACACACAATCACAAACCACGCGCAAAGGACACCTAGACACGCTGGCCAAAATCCCAACGTCAAGTCTTTCCTCACCTGCTGCGAGTGCCGGGGAATTTCGGTGATGGACGTCTAGGGTTGAGAGCTTCGCGCTTAGCATTCAGGGTGTGGTTTTGTCGATATTTTTGTCGAGTCTAGGGCTTCTATAGGGTTTAGGCAGTCTAGCATTTTCTCACCAGAATCGGTCTTGCAGGAATAAGGCAAAGATTTGCTACACTGTTATACATACAAGCCCCACCACAATCTGCCTCAAAAATGTGGACCCAACAACCTTTATTATCCTACACCCTCCATCTACCCTCTATTACAGACCCTAAATACCCTTAACTTGGGACCATATACCCCTATTTGAGGGTACTTGGAGGGTCCTGGATTATATCAGTCCACGGAATTTACATGGGCTCTGGAGGTCTCCGAACTGTTGCAGTTTAGGGATATGGGCTTCACGTCGAGGGTTCCGCGATGTCAGCGAACAAGTGGTCAGAATACAACTGTACCTAGAAATCCGTATGAAGGAACTGTAGGAGAGTCCCTTTGTGATATAAATAATCACCCTAAACTCTGCAGTTGTATGAAAGCCCCCGCCTTTTGAAAACCCGATCCACCCAAACTGTCAAACTCCAGATCCTACACCGAAAGCAGCCGGGGAGCATGGTCCACCAGAGCGTAGCTGGAGAGGGTCTCAAAGAGAGACAGAGCCTTTCGATGTTTCGGAGCTTTGAGGAGCTTACCCATAGGCCCCAGAGTAGTTCCTTTTCGGGATCCCATGATCCTCCAAGTAGTTCAGAGATGGCATTGATACAATGATCAAAATCCCAAAGTCCTAAATCGCTATACTCGAGAACAGTTTGTGATACTGCTTCGGGTTGAGAAGCTGGGTCGTTATAAAGAGGTCAAGAGTTGTTGAGCTCCTCACTGATGCGACACCTCCCTGTGAGACTGGCCAAGGCGGGAAATCGTACCAGCGACCTGGAAAGCTTTGGATATCGTGCCGGACGACCCGAGTGTTCAAACTTCAACTTTTACATCCTGTATGAGCTATTGTCAATAGTGTTCATGGCTCCAAACTAAGGACGCAACGAATTTACATGTGGCACTACGTCCCTCCTCAATCAAGCCCATCAAGCCCTAATATGGCTGGGGTTAGTTATAGGGGCTTATAGGCTGTAGATCCATTAATAAAAGGACATGCGGATGTTGATGTTGCAACTTTCTGGCTTCTAGTTTAGGCTATACCTAAACCCCAAATCCTAAATCCTAAACCCTAGGGATTGTGGTGAAAGGCTGGACGTGCAGGCTTCCTGCGCCCACTGCAAGGCACCGCAGCTGGCAACGGCCGCGCCCCCAGCCGCTACATCCTTACAGGGTGGCGAGAAGACTTCCGCTTTTGGAGGTAACCCAATAAACCCTATAGATCCGTTTTAAAGGAACTCTATTAATCCCTATAGATCCGCTTTAAAGAAACCCTATAAACCCCTATAGATCCGTTTTAAAGGAACCCTATACGCCGCTGTAGATCCGTCTTGAAAGCTAAAGCCTTAGGGTGTTAGATTTGGGGATTTAAGGTGCAGGATGGCAGGCTTGCAGCCTCTGGCCTAACGCTTTGGGTTAGGGTTTAGGGTTTA